TGTGGTGGTGGAGGAAGAATTCTAGGACTACCCCGTATGTGATTAGCAAAAGTAGATTGTCCCTGCAGAGTCCTCAGGCTGAAGGCAACACTTTAAAGCATAGCATGAGAGGAAGCTGCTTAATTTTGATTTGTGTCTCTTTGAACTGCAGTCTCACAAGCTGAGTTTGGTACGTGTTTGTAGTCTTGTGTATTGTCTTTTGAGGTTAAAAGAATGTTCTGGTTGCAATATGTATTAAAAAAAAGTTTCAGTTTGTGTGCAGAAGGGTAAAATAGAGTATTTTTTAAGACTACATTCATTTGCTTTAGTTTTTAATACCCTTTGTTAATTTAAAGTTATTATCATGTTGACTTCATTTGCCTTTATTGCCCCTATGCAAATTACTGTGTTGATTGAGTTAATTTAAACAACCTGGTTGGGACCTTCAGGCATTACTATACTAGAAATGTTAATAATGAATCAAATAACCACAGGTGCCTCTTTCCCCAGCAACAGACACTCTCCTTAAAAACTCATTTGCTTTTCATGCTTGCTTAATTATTTAGGCAAGCAGCCATGGATGTTTCACAGTGTGAATTCTCATCGTGTTCCAACTGCCCAGTCTTTGTCTTTCTAAAAGAAAGAATACCTTAACCATCATCACCATTTGTAACATGTTCCCAGAATGCCACACCATGGTCTTGAAAGGCCTTTTTGGAAATCGGTTGTAGTGAAAAGAGTCTTGATTTATAAATTTATGGAACTTAGGGTGAAGCAAAAACTTTCCTTCAATGATGGCAGCTTTATTTTCTGCTACTATCCACAAGATAAAGTGACCTAGGAACTGTATGAATAGGAGATTCCCTGTTTCCCAAAGAGAGTTTAAAATTGTGGAAGGTGTTAGCCTGATGAACAGCTGAAATCCTGTGTTGGTGGAAACAAAGAATTTGTTGTTGCTTCTAAAAGTGGAAGTATATTGGAATTTGTGAACACATCAGACATGATGTGAAAGCAAGAAGAAATTATGGAAGGGTAAAAGTCCTTATGGAATTGTCCCTTTGAAATCAGCATCTGATGACTGACAGATGTGAAATGAAAAGACACTGTCTCCAAAAAATACTGTGAAGGGCAAAGGGTATAACAAGTGGAAGAATCTTTCTGTAAAGATGTAACTGAATAATTGGATGCCATTCCTTCTCCAAATGCATGTTTTAACTAATATACAGTCTTCTATAATAAGAGCAGAAACTAACTATTGGTAAAGGATAGCATCTTTGAGAATCTTAAGTTCTCCTGTAAAAACTTCAGAGTAAAAACAGTTGTTTTCTTTTTGCAGTGCCTTGGTGAGCAAAGTTTTGTCAGAAAGATGTCTTCCTGCTGAAGCATCTCAGTTTTTGTTGGGATTTTTTGTTTTGTTCTGAGTTTTGTTTTTCTTAAAAAAAAGAAAATCAGCAATTCAGTGTCAGGTCCATATGTTTATACACTTTGTTAAATGTGAACAGAATGTAAAATAATGCAGTAAAAACTATCAGGGTATGCAGATACTTCAAAATATCCCCTCTGACAGAGGTTGCCGCCACTCTTGTATTAGCTGTTGATGCTTGAACCTAGTGGTTGCATCAAGTTTAGGAAATTTTAATATCTGATTAAAATATTGCAGTCAAAAAGTGCAAGTCTTATGAATGCCTATGAAAAGAATTGTAACACTGACAGTTTTGACTGGGCAGAGTTGGGATACACTGTTTTTCAGCATGATTCTTTTAAATTAAGAGGGCAAACAGGCCGAAGTTGATGTGGTAAGCTTTAAAGCTGCACCAATTCAAGCCTAAGCCAGACACATCTTTTTAGAAGGGCATTTTTGTTTATTCATCATTCTAAGGACTTATATAAAATTAAGGCTTATGAATGCAAAATGTCATACGGTTCTAAATTTGGAGTGTTAAGCTTTTGATGGATTGTAATATATGAATTTTTATAAGAAGTTCTTAATGAAGAAAGAACTAGAAATTAAAGTAGGCCTCTAAATTAATTCTCTCAATTTTCTAAGCTTAATGAAGTGCAAAAAAACCCATACAAATGATGAGAGTAAAGAAAGACTCTGTCTATGAGCCTATTATATATGATATCTCATCTGTCACAGGATGTTCACAGGATGTGTGTGTGCAGAAGTAATAGTTGAAATTAGTGACAGTAGCATAAAATTTTAGTGAAAGGGCCTTCTTCCACTAAACCCAGAAGATCTTAAATATCATGTTTCAGCAGTTCAGTGGCATTACAGATTTCTGGATGAGCTTTATGCCATCTTTAATTTTCCATTTATGAGAAATGCCCCAGAACCTGTGACTACCTGGTAACTTTTTAAGATGAGAAGTGTATTGTTCAAGAGGGCCTTAAGTTTCTTTTCCTACTGATTTATCAGGAAAACTGGAAGCAATTAAATATTCCTGATTCTTTTCGTGACTTTACCTTGGCATCAAAAACACATGTTTCATGAGGAAAACAATACAGAGTATATAATCCACTGTACATTATGCTTTCTTTCTAAACTGGTAGTAATCAGAAACTGCAAAGAAATTCACTTATGATTAAAAGAAAAAAAAATTCCCTGATGTACCATTTCTATTTGAATTTATTACTTTGTGTAAATGTGCTGCCTACACCTTGAAGTTGGTCATAAAACACTGATGATGGGGGTGAAGTGGAAAAGCAGGTTAGATTTAAGTACATCTCAAATAGACCATGGATCCGGAGACTTTTAGTTAGGCCAAGGAGAGGAAGATAAACTGTGATTGAGCAATTTTATTATGCATTTGTCTTTGCTTTACATTTAATTTGGCACCCACTTTGATTGCTAGAACTTAATTTTAAAGCCCTGCTACTTTATGCCTCTTCATATTTATTTGTTCTTTGAAGATCGCATTTATGGAAAGTTTGCTTGGAAGGAGTTTCTTAGAGAGTGGGATGGTTTGATGGGGGGACACATCAAATATTTAGAAGTTGTGACAAAAAGCCATAAAGATAAATACTTGTCTGAATTTCAGGGTGGTTTTTTTCCTAGACTAAAATGAAAGAACTTGATGAGTTTGAAGCCTCTGATGGAAACATCATACGTAGTTGTCTCCACTGAAGTAACTTTATTGATTTGTGCAGAGAAATCATCCTTGCAGAACAAGATCTAAGTGATGAGGTTTAAGATTTACAGTTACTTGGTTGGCAAACTTAGAAGGCTGAAGCTACAGCCAAGCCCCCATTCTTTATGTTAATAATTTTTAGACGAAAGGTCAAAAAAAGCCATTCCAATCTTGCAATGAATCTAGAGCATCTACAGCCAACTGGAACACTGCGGATGCTTTCTTGTAGTAATGTCTGTTCTGTCTCTGTGGCTTATGGAAAGTCACATACTCTCAAACTGCTATGTGAATTGCCGATTCAGTAGGTGCTTTTTTGTCAGTATAAAAATTCCGTGACTTATTTCCAAAGAAATATTATTCTTATGCAGAGGGTATATTTTGTTCACTTCTTTCTCATAGAATAGTATTCCTGTGTGGTCCGGTATTTCAGGGAAAAAGAGGACAGTAAAATTTGAGAATATACTTTTGTATCTTCTAGGCCAGTCCAATCATTGGTCAGACACAGCATGAAAGATAGATATCCAACACCTTCCACTTAATATGAAATGAATTACCATTGCATTGTGTACACTTGAATGCACAGTCACTTTCAGGATACATGATTATTCTGAGGATGTCTTTGAAGTTCTCATTTTTAATTTTTTTTTAAATTCGAGGAAAAATTTACATTAAGAACATTTCAGATTTTGACGTGCTAGGTGAAAATGTGTCAGTATTTTTTGTTTTGTTTATATATATATATATATGCATTTTTGCTATCTTAGTAGAAGCATCTATAAACCTGGAAGGAAAGTTTGGTTTTAAAGAGTTGTTGGTAAAACTCTTGTGAAACTGAAAGAGAATATACACAGTAACAGGATATTTTTATTTACATAGGCTTCTACCATAATCAGCAACTTAGCTATGTAATTGACTGCTTAGTAAACACCTTCACTATCCTGGCATAGGAAAGAGAGGGACAGTTGTGTCACATAAAAGCAACAGAGTATATAGTAGCCTTAAAATATAAAAATATATGTATTTGGAGTGTAGAAGAATGGAATGTTTTATGCTAACCTTGACCTTTACATATGCCCTGGGGGGAGCAAGGTGATCCCGGAGCTTCGTGGGAACATTTTGGGGCTTATTAGAAACTGAAGTATATCCTGCCTTTCCTGCTGACCACAAAACTAGTGAAAGAAAACTTCCTCAGACTTTTAAAATACAAATGTATTTGCCTATGTTATTAATTGCACATCAGAGTATAAAGAGCAACTCCTCCCCTCTATTAATGTCCTCCTGAGTGCCACAGTGAAGGAGGGATTCAGGGCTCTGTCCCTGGCTCCTCAGCAGGTTTGCTGTGGCTTAGGGTTTTTCTGAATTTATCTTTTTTTAATGTAGGGTAATATGGGGCAATGTCCAGAGAGTGAGAAATGACAAATAACCCCTGGGGCATCTAGCACCACTCCTTGCTTTGCTGGAAAAGTTTGGTGTGTGCTTGTGCAATACTTAATTATCCCATTTCACATGACCATGCAGAGCTGAAATTTGTAATAACTTGTGAGTATTTGCTCAGGTTTTGTTATAAGACAAATGACACTTTATATACACTGATGTTATGTTAAAGTCTGCTCAATGTCACAATGTTAGGTAACAACTGAAAAATTGTCCAAGTACTACAGAGCAACAGAACTCACTGAAGAGCATGAAGAACAGCTTCTTTTCATTTTTTCAATATAAACTTCTGCTTTTATTTACAATGCTAATTTGTGCAGCTTTTGACAAGTACCAAGTGTTATTTTATATCTATGAATATCATTTGTATTACTTCAGTTGAACTTCTTAAAAGAAGGTTTGTTTAAGAATGTGGTTTAATATTTAAATAATGGGGTTTTTTTGTCTTTTAAATAGGTGAATGTCTATGTGCTGGGCAAAACTTTCCTTCTGTTGGCCAGAGAACTCTGCATAAACGCTCCAGCTATAGGTATTTTTTTTGAGTTGACTTTTGAGTATTTGGGTGTGGGTTTTGCATGGTTATGTGACAAGAGTGCGTATGTGTGTGTATAGATAGACATAGTACTGTGTGCCAAATGCAAAAGTGGTACCTTTAAAAGTGAAGCTGGAATCAATCGATGCAGAAGAGCTTTGCTGACTATGGGAGCCTGTTCTCCTTTATGTAATAGTTTTGGGAGCTAGATGCTGTTTTCTTTTAAAAACAATTTTGTTGCTTTTTCCAAACTATGCTAAGATGGGGCTCATGTATAACAAACTTGTGTATGTTTGCAAGCTCACACAGGCCTGTCACACTTTGGTTCTACAGAGATGCAGTGTTTGATGAATATTTGCCAAACTCACTATTTGTCCATCACCTGTAGCTGAGTTGTTCAGAGCTTGAAATACAGTTGGGTCAATGGAAAAGAAGCAACTTTTTCCAAGCATGTGAATAATTAGTAACTCATCACTGAAATTGTAACAGTGATAGGAAGGTGGGTTCTAACATGTCAAAAGGGCAAAAAAGCTATTGTCTAGGGAGTTAATGTCAATTCCAGTTAAAAGACTGTTTATAGAGAGGTCTTGTGACTGCTACCACCTCTGTGCAGAAATTTTATTTCTGTATCTTTACCCACTCCTACTCCCACACTCCTTAATCTATACTGAGAGCATCAGATGCCTCTGTATACAATACACATACTCCCCCCTTCAGATGTACTCAGCTAGGCACCTAACTGCCTGCCTTTGCAGCAAGAGAACCCGCAGCTCACATACTGAGCACTGTCATAACAGCATCCAGATAGAATGTGGCAGTGCACAGCTATCAGCTGTAGTGGTGTGCTGACTTCATTTGCACAGCTTGATATTTGGTGAAAAGTTGTTATTTTCAATAATTCACTTGCCTTATTTGTTATTACTGTTTTTTTAAGACAGAATGGGCAGAATTTGTGTTGTGGCTTAGTTTCAAGGTCTAAATTAATGCAGCTTAGGAAAAGGCAAACAGAAAACCCTTCTCAGTTAAATGTAGAGGTACTCGTCACACATGGAAAAATGCTGGTTTAGACTGCTGCTTTAATATTCTTTCCAAGGTCCTCATGATGCAAGAAATTTGTAAAAAACCTGTACTTTTAACTGGCTCATCAGTAATGATTGTCAGATACTTGAAAAAAAAACACCTACTTTTATCACTCCTTAAAAAAAATTAAGGGTATTAGCTATAAAATTACCAATAGTGCTTAAGACTGCTTTAAGAAAAATAAAAACGGGAGGGAGGCAAAGATCCAGCAGCTTTTGTTCTTATTAGTAATTTTGAGTGAACTTAAAGGCTGTATTTCAAGTGTTTCTCTAATGTCTGCTCCTAAATGTGAGGATGGGATGTATATTTAGATAAGGGGTGCCAGTATTGCAGCTTTGGGCTAAATCAGTGATAATGCCTGTAACTGAGTTAAGCCTTCTCTTGACTCTGGCCATTCAATTGGGGTGCAGTTGGACAGGTGCAAGTGTCAGTGTTACTGTTTGCTGGACAGGCTGGAGGTTAATGCAGATGGTGCATGTGGATGGGTATTAGAGATCTTAAATATAACCACAGGATGATTTTGATTGATTATATTCAGGGTTTGTCTGGCTTCAGCTTAGGCAACACGAAGGAACCCCTGAGCTTCCACAGATGTCAGCTCCCTTTTACGTGAAGGAAATTAAAGGCTACTGATGGATAGTCTCAGTTACCAGGCAAGGAAACCCTTGTATCTGCAGTGATAGCTAATGCCCTATATAGCTGCACAGAGGGGATACATTACAGTATCATCACCCGTTAGCTGTACTGTAGAGGAATTAACAGACACAAGCTAGAAGATGAGCAGTGATCAAATACACAGGATTTAGGGCAAGTAAAAATGTTTTATATTTCACAGATTCATAAACTGCTCTAGTTTAGAACATTCTATTTAATTACAGCTGCAGTCTGCACATTAGTTATCTATATACAAAATAAATGCACAGTACGTGCAAAATTTAACATTTCTCTGCTTGTTGCAGTCTTAATTATCAAGTCAAATAGCTTATGAATAAATAAAATAAGATTAAATTCAAGAGCATTCCTTCACTTATTTGTATAGGCTGATGTAGCAGATAGGTAAGTAGCATAACATTCCATACTGCTGCAGAGTTTGTAGTAAAACAGAGAAATCCCTTAATGTGCATCATTGCAGTACTGGAATACAATCAAGGTGAAATGCATCATGCATAGAAAATGAGCTCAGGTATTTGTCCTCCTTGTACTCCAGTACCATTAGTACTGTCCGAGGAGCACTGGAACTGGAACGTCACTTTCCCGCACTGCACTTCAGTCATTCCCTCTTGCCCAAAGTAACTGAGTTCATTACCATCCAGAATAGCACTTACGTTATAAAAGGTATCTTGCTCAACCTGCACAGGGTGTTCAAACCACACAGAGAAAGTGTTACTGGAGCCATCAGAGGTAAACTTTGTCAGATTTTGAGCAAGGACAACTCCTAAGCGCTTCAGTTCAATTTTGACACTGTATTCAGCTTTGCCACAGCTCGATCCATACAATCCCAGTCCTGCTATAAATATCCGTTTGTCTACGGCAAACTGAATACTGTCACATCGCCCTCGGTACCTCCACTGATTGCTGCGGTATGCAGAGGACTGAAACCGATGGCATCGCTGAGGTACCAGTCCTTTTCTTTTTGTCAGCGGAAACTCTAGTTTGGGTTTATTTGCAGCTGTGTACCACAGGAATATGTTGTGAGTTTCCTCAAGGGTGAGGATGTCAGACTGGGCAGCTCCATTAGCAAACTCTTCCAAAGTCATGGTTGGGATCCGCACCAGGTACAAAGCTTTTCCTAATACATTCCTCTTGTTACGTGGTGTAACTGGCAGCCCTTGCCTTTTGCATTCAGCCTCTGCCCAGTTGAGAACAGCCTCGAAAACTACTACTTCCTTGGTGTTGAGTGCCTCCCGGGTTACAATGATCTCTAGTGTTTGTTGATCTATCTCACAGAAGCCCTCTGACTTCAGTGCCATTTCTGCTTGAGCATCAATCACTTCCCAGCAGCGCTGGGTCAGCTCCGGCTCCTCAAAGAGCCTGCTCTGAGACAGCAGGACACAAGCGTTCTTTGCTTCTAAACTGGTCTCCAGAAAATTGACGCAAGCCTTTGCTAGGGCTGGCACAATGTACTTCTTGGCAGCATACAACGTAGCCAGAACTGTGTCAGCTTCCAGGTCTATTTCATCACTATACATATATCTAGATGGGAGAAAAAAAAAAGTACTTTCTTAGGGAAAAAATAAATATTTATATAGGCCATTAAAGATTGATCTCTTGTCATCTTTGCTGGCAGTGAATCTGATATACAGTATTTTTCAGCACATTAAGTAAACAGTAATAAGTGCATATTGCACAATGCCAATTAGGAGATGCATATTTTATAAGCTACTTTGATTCTGTCCGTGTAATTAGTAGACTTGTAGTGGCCACTTACTTTAATAGGATTAGAAAGGCTGCAGGTTCCACATCTGGTATATGGATTTCGGATTTGACCTCTGCGAGATCACCATAAAACATAGCGTAGAAGACAGAGCTACCAACTGCCAAAACGTACTGGAAAACAGAGAGAAGCCTCAGTAGTATGTATCAGCAATAGCTGAGCATGCTGGCTTGCAGTTAAGAGCTACACTGAGGGAAAGTTGAAAGCTACAGTGGAGGCAGAAGACTGCCTTAGACTGTGCCTTTTAATTGCAGTGAATTACTTCTAGTATTAGACAAGAACTGCAATTAGGAAAAAAAAAAAGTGGGACTAGTTGTAAGGCGGGAGAGAAGGCAATATGCACAGCAGTATTAAAAAGCCAAAAATTATCTGCACAAACCTTATGGGCAGGAACTTTCTTGGATGCCCCTGGTGGGCCCACGATGAAGTGAACGTCAGCCATGAGTTCGTTATTAAACATAAGCGCGTTCCTGCAAGCGAGGGGAAGGGGGAGAAGCCCCGTTAGCGGCGGGCAACCCCTGACCTGGTTGCCCCAGCCCCGCTGGCGCGCAGCAGCCCAGCCTCCCGCGGGCCCAGCCCAGCCCTCGCTCCTGGCCTCGGCGCAGGTGCACGGGGCCGGGCCGCACTCCCGCCCGGCCGTCGAGCTCCGGCGGGCCTGGCCCTTACCTCTCCCGCAGTGTGGGGTGGAAGGACTGCCAGTTGGCGCTCTCCAAGTTGTTGTTGTTGAGGTTTTGGAGCTGGGGCGGCGGGGGCGGCTGGGCGCTCTGCTGGAGCTGCAGGGCGTTCTTCTTGCTGTTGGCAGCGGTGGCGGCGGCGTTACTGTTTGCGATATTGGTGTTGGTGCTGGCAGGGTAAAGTTCTGCAGCCATCTTCTTCTTCAGGGACAGGGGCACTATCTCATAGCATCCTGGCACCTTGCCGTTTGACCTCACACTCTTTTTGGACTTCTTTAAGGTCTCTGGAAGCAGAAGAAAAAAAGTCAAACACTTCATGATCCTGCCATTGAGGCAACCATGGGGCAGTGGCATGAGCAAGAGAACTAACAAATCCCAAATACGAGTCCCACTATCTGGATATTTTGTATGCTTCTAGATGCGCGGTGGCTTTTGGTGGTTTTGGTGTTTTGTATGCGCGCTCTGCGATTACAAGCCCGACGCGCTTTTCCGAGGGGAAAGGGATGCCGCTGTGTCGGATCGGTGCCAGCGCTCACCTTAGCTTCCAGAGGAGTCCCAGCCTCCGCGGCTCCGCTGCGCTGGCGGGGGGGGGGGGGGCTGGCAGGCACTTCCTTCCACCGGGGAAAGCGGAGATTAAAAACAACAACAGAAAATCCTAAATCCAGCAGCAGCCCAGCTCCACAGATCCAACCGAGAAAGCCGAGGCGGCGGGTCAGTAGCCACAGTCAATCCACAAATTCTCCTAGTGCAGCAGCCCGGCGAGGGTGAAGCGCAACCAGCCGCCCGATCCCCGCTGCCAGCGACCGCGCTCCGCTCCGTCCTTCCCCGCCCGGCGGGGGCACATCCGCGGCGGCTGGGCCGGGCCGAGGCGGCAGCTCTCTGCAGTCCCGCTGCCGGGCGGCCCCAGAGCCGCTCGCACCAACTTTCCTCCTCCTGCTCTGCGGGCGGCAGCCGCCGCCACACGGCGCTGCTCCTCCGCGCTACCCCCGCCTTCGTCGGGGGCGCTGCTGCCCGCGGGGCGCCCCGGCTGCTCCGCGACAGGCGGGCGGCGCTGCCCTCGGCGTTCCCCTCGCAGAAGCAACAGCGGGATGCGGCGGGGCTTGGCTTGGCTCTGCCGGGCCCTGCCTCCGCCTCCCGCCCTAATAGGCATCCTCCGCGGTGCGCGTCACGGCGGCCGGGGCCAATGGGGAGCGCAGGGGCGCGGCGGGGGATCCGCCCCCCCCGCCCGGTCTTGTGTCAGTCTGCTGCGCTCTTCTCCGCCTTCCTCACTGTACGTGCGCTGAGGCGCGCGGAGGCTCTCCCGCTGGTCACGGTGGAAGCTCCGCCGCCGGCTGCCCCCGGTCCCGTTACCGCAGGGGGAGCGAGCACTGGGCAGGGGCGCCGGGGACCGGCCCAGGGGCCCCCGCAGCGGGGCTGGTGGAGACGGGCGCGCACAGCCCTTCCTGGCCGGCCCGGGCGGGGGCGCCGCCGCGCCGCTCACCGCCCGGCACCGCTCACCGCCCGGCACCGCTCACCGCCCGGCACCGCTCCGCTCCGCCGTGCTGGCCGCCGGGGTCGGCGGGTGCGGGCGCAGGGGGCACGGCCGAGGCGGACTTTTGGAGTCGAGGAAGTTGCAGCATGTTTTTCCTCCCCTTCTCTCGTAGCCCAGGAGCCGCCGTGCCCCGGTTGCGCGGGGTCTCCCGAGCCGGGTTCTCGCTCGCCTGCCTGGGGTCTTCAGTGGGGACCGGCTATCTGTCTGCCTGGTACCGTGGGTTGACCTGCAGCCAGGCACGGCTCCGGCTCCTGTCCCCGGCAGTGCTGTCCTGGCTACCTGTTTGGGGGAGGAAGTAATTCTTTTAAATAGTTTCCGTGGGTTTTTTCTATGTTCCTTTTAACGACTGTGTTATATCTAGGTGCTTCCAAAAGCCTGTTCCTGGTCATGAGTGGGATAGGGAGAAATAGGGAAGTCTTCAGAAAAGTAGATGCTCCTGTCTTAAAAAATATCCTATTTTTCTTGCTGTCTGCTTCATGGCCCCCATAGCCCCCATTCAGGAAAGCAAGATGGTTCTGCCGCATTTGGAGAACTTGCTGGCTCCTGCACAAGGGTTTCAGTCCCAGGAGTCTGCTGGGAGCGTTCCCACTGGACAAGAGGAACGTTTTTCACAGTGAGAACAATCAGCCATTGGAATAATCTCCCCAGGGAAGTGGTGGATTCCCCAGTGTTGGACACTTTAAAGATTCAGCTGGGCAGGGTGCTGGGACATGTAGTTTAGGTCACATTTTGGCTAGAAAGGTTGATCCTTGAAGTTCCTTCCAACCTGGTATTCTGTGATTCTGTGATTCAAAGGAGATTCCCCTGCCCCTGGGATCATTGTGCTGCTTTAGTACCAGTGGGAGGAATCAAGGTGTTAAAGAGTTTTACAACTTCTAAATAATTGGGGTTTTTAATGTTTGCATCCATATGGGACATGCTTATGTTAATCTTGGCCCTGAATTTAGTATATTAATATTAGTTTTTAGTTATCTGTGGCCTCTTTAAGGCTTTTCACTTAAAACCCACCCACGTATTCATTTTCTGACTTTGGTAGCTTCAGAATTTAAATTAATGATGTGCAGTGTTTTGTCAGATGACCTGTGGGCATGAATGCCAGTAGAAACATCTGAGCAGCTACAAAGTGAATGTGTAAATGCTCCCGAAACTCAGCTCGGAAGAGAAAGTTGTGAATTGCCTTGTGCTGGATGAGCTGAAGTTGGGTCTCTTGGGATAAAAGGAAATGGAAAAGCAAAGTAAGCACCACTCTGTAGCATCACATGTGTTTCTGTTGTGTTTTTGCGAAGAGCAAAGTTTAAGTGTTTGTTGAATACCAGGCTATAATTTCTGAAATGTTTTTTGTTGTATTTTGGAGTTGATCATTTCTGTTGAGTACAGTTTTATGAAATCATTCTTGGAAATACAGAGCAACTGCCCGTAATGTCACGGGGATCAGTTAATCTTGTGTAAACCTCTGATTTTTAGGGTCACATTTAGGAGCTGACTGCTCTCTGGCGTTTCTTCAGTTTTGAAGGAGATGTGTTTGGAAGTTCTTGCGTGATAAGTGCTTTCATTTAAATGTTTCTGTGGGGCTGACAGGCATAATCACCTACTGTGTGATCATGGTAATTATGAATAGCAACAGGGCATCATTGTTATAACTTGGTGCTAAATGAAACTGCTTTGATTAATTGTAAATTGTAAGATTGTTCCAGTGTTTCGAGATGAATTTTCATCTTTATCAGTTTAAGTGCTCACATTGGGAATCAGCGAAGGAAATTGAGTTGAGACTAATAGTTAACAATTTACCATACATCATGGATTCTTGGTCAAGTGATAAAAGGCTGTCAGGAAATGAGAAATTGATACCTTAAATAAGAGTAAACGTGTTAAGTGTAGATTTTACAAGATTGTTTGATAAATTCTAAATTGGTTTAGGCAAAGCACAATCACTACTGACATATTTCAGTTAGTTTGAAGCCGATAACACCAACACTTGAAATAAGTTTGTACATCTGGAGGCAGATTCATGACCTATGTAAATTGTTATAGCGCTGTTGTGGTTAATTGGGTTCCAGCAGTTTATGCTGGTGGAGAGTAGTATCTGTAATAAACAGTGTTTTGTATTGTTGCAATATGAATCTTGAGAAGGAGTTGGAATTAACTTTGAAGATGTAAGTAGACTTCTATTAGGGATGTGGGATTTTAAGCAAACATTTTTTTCAAAGCTTAGTTTGTAGTTAGGCATGAGATGGGATGTGCAAGTTACCTGATTTGTTACTTTGCAGGAGATGTTAGAAGTCTGGGGTCTAAGTCATGCCCTTATTGTGCAAAAGCTTTTCTAAATGCTTATCTTTGTGTGTAATTTCACTGACACCAGTAACTGGTCATTGAACCCTGAAAAGGGTGTAAGAAAAACCTCGTGCAGTGCTTTAAAGATGTCTTGTCTATAAAGCAAGAAAGGATTTTGGTTTAGCTTAACTATAACGGTGCGTCTAAAGCTTAGTGATCGGAGGATCTAGCCCAGCAGCACAGTCTGTGTTGTTGCTGAGACGTGAAGCAAGACAACTACAACAGCCTTGCTTGAATACTGTGTTTCCTAAAGCAAAGGTTAGGATTAGAAATAGAATCATAGAATGGTTTGGGTTGGAAGGAATCTTGAATATCATCCAGTTCCAATCCCCCTGCTATAGGCAGGGACACCTTCCACTAGAGCAGGTTGCTCCTAGCCTCATCCAACCTGGCCTTTAACATTGCCAGGAATGGGGCAGCCACAGCTTCTCTGGGCACCCTGTTCCAGTGCCCCGTCACCTTCACAGTGAAGAATTATATTACTTTCTGTTGCAGATCCATGTTTATATATTCCTCGTTTTGCACACATGCTTGAGTTTGGAGATAAGAACCATGAGGTGTCCATGACGGCTCTCAGGCTGTTGCAGAGAATGAAGAGGGACTGGATGCACACTGGCCGCCGGCCCTCCGGGCTCTGCGGAGCAGGTATGTCAGACACAGTGTATTGCTTCCCTCTCGTGGGTTGAATGGGAGAGCCTGGGGATTGGAAACAGATGAGGACTTTCTCACTTCCTTGGTGATGCTGTGTTCTCTGGAGTTTGTGCTGTCAGGCATCTACAGATTATATATGTCTTTAGTGAAACAGTTTCTGAAACTCAGACTTTATTTTTGCCCTTGCTCTTACATTACTTGCTCAGATCCTTTGTATCTTACATTTTGGAATTTTAGCCTCTTTTCTGGTGCTCTTCTCTACTCTCTAGAAGCTCTAGCTGCTAAAAGTGGGCCGTTTTTGTCAGCTAAAATGACACCCTTAGTGCGAGCCCTTTGATTTGTGTCTTTACACAGAGTCTTATGCAAGAAATGCCCTCTTTGACCTGTTCTGTGAAATTATTTTCCTCTCCTTCTTCATTTTTTTCCAGGATCCATTGCTGTCATGATGCTTACTTAAAACCTACCAGTTTGGGAGGGCTAGGTTAAAAGTTAGTACCAGCCAGCGAGGTCGAAATAATGATGGGTGTAGACAGTCACAGAGTTCACATATAGGCTTTATTTTATTTGAAAGATCTTACGTGTGCATGCTGGAATGAGAAATAGCACTCAAACCTTAGGGAACCCAGGACTATGGCAATCTTCTTGATTTCTAGCCTCTTTTTGTTAATAGCACTTGCTTATTGCACATTGCTAAAAATTTTAGTATAGACCATGGGAGACAGGCCTGGTCTTTAATTCACTGCAGAGACTGTATCTACACAAGCAAGTAATTTGATTCAGTAGATACAGGTCAATAGATTGAAGCAGGTGGTGCCAAGTCCCCTACTGCATATACTCAGTTCACATGGTGTACTGTGGACTGGATGGCTGGGTTTAGTTTGGTCCTCTGTCCTAAATATCTGTGCCACACATTGTTTGGAGGGCCAGTCCTTCAGCCCCTGATGTTCCCATTAAGAACTGCAGCGCTTGAAACACCTACCTGTTGTGGAGCTCCGGTTTAGTTTCTTCTGAAAGGAAGCACTTTTGCATGCTTGAAAGTGTTCTGCCCACTGAGCCACTGCATGATGAGTGAGGGGGGTGATTCAAAACAGAGCTAGTGCTCTAAACACACTAACATCAGTGCAGCCAGCACTAGTTACCTAGCTCTATGGAGGGTCTTGCAGGAGGACAGTTGAGCGCTAGCAATGTAGTGGCAGTGGTGACAGTGATGAGGATAACAGCTTAAGTAGACTCAGTGTTTTGCTGGAGATCTTGTTATTCAGGAATAGTAAATTCTGCTAAAAAGATGGGAACCTTCAAAATATGGGATCAATGAAATTTTCTTGAGCTGTAATTTAAGTAGGTGACCATTGTTTCCCAAATGTTAAAGCACAGAATTTTTCAGGGAGCAATTTGCAGTCAGCTTAATATTACTGAGTAGGAAGCAAAGTTTGTAAAGTCAAGTCAATCACCTGTATTCAGGGACACAGCTGAGCATAAGCATTTACAGTCAAGGTGAAGTTATAGCTACCTGCCTGTTTTCTGCTTTTCCTCAGGAAATTTTCTGCTTTATGATACTGACTTTCCCTGCTTATTCTCTAGCTCTGCTAGTGGCAGCAAGGATGCATGATTTCCGACGTACTGTTAAAGAGGTCATCAGGGTGGTCAAGGTTTGTGAGTCTACATTAAGAAAAAGGTCAGTGCAGTTTTATTGCTTTTATCTTTCATTTATAGTACTGAAAAGTGTGTAGTCTAAAATGAACATATATCAGAGAAAACCAGGTTCTCTATCTTTTCAGAAGCACCAAGAATATAATAAGTACAACATGATTTTGCTGGTCATTTTTAAGTACTTATATCTGTCTCTTATGTAGGGCCTCAGATACTTAGCAGAGATGGCAAGGAGCACTGTGTCCATTTAACAGGTGAAGAGTTGAAGGCAAAAAAAGTTGGGTCAGAAATGTTAACAGCATTGTCATGTCCTTGGAAGAAATAATTGATTGATTCTCAAAGCTGAGGGAGTACTGTGGGAATTTTTTCTCTTTTTTACTTCATAAAGAAGATTTTACTTCATAAATCCAGAGTCCAGTGCTGGGAAGTCTTGTCCTTTAGGTGTTACTGAACAGAACTTTTCAAAATATTTTGCTGAAGTATTAATTTTTGATAGTTTTGCACTGGTAATAAACAGAAGACATTGCAGTGAGTTTAAGTTCACTGAAGGGGTCTGAAATGGAATTATCAGCAGAATGTGAGCCTGAAAATGGGAATTTCCGGGGTATCTTTGGCTGGGTTGTTTGTTTGTTTTCAGAGATGTAGTAGTATTTTCCATATTCTGATGAAGTAAACAGTCACCCAGATTCCCTCATTTTAGCTCTGAAAAGTTGCAATATTTTCTTTCCCCATAGTGTGAGTAGAAACCAACCTAACTGAAATATTCTAAAGTTTGTTCCTCCAAGGCCGGTTTTTAGAAAGCTCCCTTTGTGTCTCTCTTTCTTTCCATGTCATGGAGACTAGCTTAAGCATATCCAGCTGAGTCAGATACCTGTTAATAATATTCACTTCTTAATTGTGAAAAACATTTTTGCCCCATATCTTCATTTGTGTATTGGGAATGGTGGTATTTCCCTACCATGCATAGGTGTTACAGGGAAAAATTTTAAGTGTTAGAACTGCCTCAGGATACGACAAGCATAAGGATGGCGCAGTACAAATGCCAGTTTTTTTCTCTGGCCTACAGGTCATGTGTTTCAGTGTACAATTTGTATGATTAATGATTTATGCACCCACAATCTACTTCAAGATGATTTGGTTAAATAGCTGGAGTTTGTTCTTACTAAAACCATAAGCATAATAAATTAGAGTTGGAAGGAAAATTAATTTGAGCAATTGTTTCAAGCGAAGAAATCTTACTTCAAAATTCATGCTTTGAAATATTTACTCAAGTCACACATGTCAACCAAAATGACAGTGTTATTTACTTTGACAGGGTAAACGTGACAGCTGAATTATTTTCAGGCAGCTATAATTGCAACTATTTATCATGAATCTATAAATTTGATTGATGTTTTTCAAATAAGAGCACGTTATATAGTATTTAACGAAGGCAAATAAAAAAAAAATACCTTTGAATAACTCTTCCTGCACTCCAGGTTTTTTCCTCTTCTTTCAAGAATTCCTCTCAAAATGCCATTGAGTAGAAGTGGTTTAAATTAATAAGAGCTTTTTTCACATTTTTAAAGATTTATTTGCATCTCATTTTGATGTACAGTTTTATTTCCTTTTAATTATTACTACAGTTACTCCTGTTTGGAAAGAGCTACTTGTGCTTTCTGTGTTGTGAAAGTGTTGAGTGTAATTGGGTGAATGCTTATTAATGGATGACGTTGAATGCTGAGTTCACTGCTGATGACTTTGTCCTGACAGCTCTTGAAGTGAAACCAAATTGGAGTCCAGATAATGCTGCAACTTCAGCCCACAGGTTCTGCAGTATGGTTTGATTTAGCTTCCAGCTGGCTACATGGCTCCTGGGGAAGCACAGACCTTTGGAAACTGGATTTGGTTCTGGTGCTAATGGACTTCCATAGAAGGAACCTACAAGGCAAGGGACAGCACTACTGTGATGTGCTCCTTCTGCCCTTTAGAGGCAGCCCAGCAGACTTGGGGACAGGGCTGTGTTTATCCATGGCTTGCCTGAGGATGCAGGAGCGATGCTTTTTAAGAAAGCTCTGTCTGGCTTCCCGTTTTGGGAAGATCCTCAGCAAGGGGTGGCAGCCCATCCCAAGGAAGGGCACTGTTCCTGATCCTGTGCAGTGCCATTGTTTGACTGTGTAAAAAGGGATTATTTCACCCTGTTGCCCATCAGCCGGAGAGTGCCAAGGCCTGCGTGGCTGTAGTGTGTTGCCTCTTCTGCTACTGAGTACCAGAGGAGTAGCTCTTAGGAGGAGGTTCACAAAAATGTGACATACCTTCAGGTCATAAAAATGAGTGACCTGATCATAAAAAGAATCTGTTTTGGAAGGAAAAAGAAACAAAGCATGACCTATGGACCCATCCTGTCACTCATCTTTGAATCATGAGTTCTTAATTTAACCATCTGTTTGATTTTTAAAAAGTGCGTGTTTGTTTATTAAAAACATGTTGTGGGTTTTGGTAGGATCTTGGTAAGAAAACTTTGTACTTGCTTCACAGGGCCTTCTTGCTGTATATTTTGAAGCACACAATTAAAATGTAAAGATTGTTGCTGTTGTTGAAAGTGAATGTATTAAATATTAATAAATGCACTGATAGTTCTATCTCATTTTTCAGTCTAATTGAAATGAGATTAACTTATATATCACTGTATACATTCAAAGTACTGTATAAATATTAACTAATTAGCCAAATTGTTATTTTATGTGTCATCATCTGTGGCTATAGCAGAAATTAACTTTTAATAATCCCAACCCTATTATTTAGTTTAATCTTCACATTTGTGCCTGTGTTCAATGCACCTGTGTTCACTGCTGCCTTTTTAACCTTTACATTCTCTACCCCTTCATCTGTTTATTCACCTATTGCACACTTTCTCTGCATACAAATTCTGTCTTACCTGCAGTAAGAACAATTTTTGTGATATTTGTCCATTGTGCATTATCTAAGAGTGTTTGATATCTTGGGCGCTTCTTCAATAGAAATAAAAGAAAATTGGCTTATCTTTGTTAACACTTGCATTTTAGTTCTTTTGCTTACTCTCTTTATCTTTAAATTGAGCTGCTTTTTACATTAAAAAAAAATACTTATTTTCAGTTCCATAAAGTACTCTCTGTTAAAAAACCTATTTGTGGTAAACTTCAGACGAAGTGAAGCTTCAATTAGTAGGAATTGGAATGAAAGGCCAGAATGGGTTTAAAGGGTTCATTTTTGAGGTGAATATTTTTTCTCACAGCTAAATAGCATTTTTGGAGCAGGAAGACAAGACTTGTTGCGTAGCAATGCCATTTACCCCTTGGATATGCTGTGGGGACCTTCATAAACGGAGTCCTTTGCTCATATCGTTGGGACTCTTTCAAAGACTGCTTAGGTATTTTTTCTGGAAAAATTAAAGAATCATGCAAAGACGAATGTATTACCTGCAGCTTTTCTTATTTTCTGCAATATATAGCTCACATAAACTTCATGTCCGAGCTCCCAGTGAAATCTCGAGCTGGGTGTGAGTGCAGCCAAAGGAAGGAGCACATCAACACTGAATGACAGGATCAAATGTACCCCGATGAAGTTTGTCATGATACCAAACTGAGTGGGGAAGTAGGTGCTTTGGAAGGGGGAGCCACCCTGCAGGAAGACCTTCTTTTGCTGGAAGAGTGGGCTTACAAGAACCTGATGAAGTTCAACAAGGACAGGCGTAAGGTCTTGCGCCTGGGTAAGCGCAATCCAAGAGTGCAGCACAGGCTGGGGAGCAGCTCTGTGGAAAGGGACCTCGGGGTCATGGTGGATCACAGTGTGAGTGAACAGTGTTTTGCTGTTGCAGAGAAAGTCAACAGAATGCTGGGTTGCATCAACAAGGCATCACCATCAAAGGTAAAGAAGTCATTATCCTGCTCTATTCAGCAGTTGTGAGTCCACACCTGGAATACTGTTTTGGTCCCTGCTGTACAAAAAAGATGTGGACAGGCTGGAGAGTGTCCAGAGAAGGGCCACAGAGATGACCAAAGGACTGGGAATCCATGTGATGAAAAGAGATGAAAAGAAGGCTTGGGAAACCTTATCACCATGTTCCAGTATTTAAAGGGTGGCTATAAAGAAGATTGAGACTTTTTTTACAAGGGGTCGCATGGAAAGGACCCCAGGGGTAATGGGCACAAAGTACTCCCAGCAAGGTTCCCATTGGATGCAAGAGGAAAATTTTTCACAATGAGAACAATCAGCCATTGGAATCATCTTCCCAGGGAGCGGTAGATTCCCCAGTGTTGGACACTTTCAAGACTTGACAGGGTGCTTGGAAATTTAGGTCACGCTTTGTCAAGAAAAGTTGGACCAGATGATCCTTGAGGTCCCTTCCAACATAGTATTCTATGAGTCAGGGTGGGAAGAGGTGACAGGGGCATGTGTAACTGCCAGGTGGCTGTGAGGTTATGTTTTCCAAAATACGGAAGCCATATCAACGGAAGGGAAGGGTGTGAAGAACTCTTGTGTTCATCTGTGATCCAAGTAAAGCTGTGCTAAAATCCTGTGAAAGGTATATGATGAATAAATGAGAGTTATTTACCTGAGGTATGTGAGCATGGAGAAGGGTGGAGGATGCTCAGTATGTCAGAGCTGTAACTACTCTTGGCTGAAGTGTCATATGAAGCTTTCAGAGAACTGGGAAGGTTACTTCATGTGAAGGAGTTGGTGGTGTGTCTGCTCTGATCTCAGCTTGGCAGCCGTGGAGGTCCCTTGCTGGCTGCTGTTGTGGTAAAGTAAGAAAGTAAATAGAGGAATATTTTATCAGTTAAATAATTTCAAGTGGCTTAGGTGACTTCTAGAAATCTTTCTAGTATGGTGATTAAAATACAGCTTGATCCACGCAGGTTGGCATTGCATACCTTTGTAAGTTGGATTGTCTGGTTTAGTGAAAAAGGTTTTATTTTTGAGGTATCCAATTTCATAGGCAATGTTCGTTCTTATAAATCTGGCTTCTATACAACTAGAAAGCTAAGACATTAATTAGATACCTAA